ATACTCGTTCTCTCTCAATTATTTTACAGGAAAGCCTTGAAGACGATTAACAAACGAAGCTTACAATGGCAGCTACAGTACCAGTATATATAAAGTTACGAAAGTACGAGATTATACCACAACCACATTTAAGGACATCCACATAAAAGGAATAATAGATGTGTTGGAAGAAAAACCCAATCATTACTACAAACAATTTTACAAGATGGAACGACATGAATGACAGTTTGTGAATTCCAGTATATGGATGCTTCAAAAAGATGTATTCTTCTGCAACGAAACTGATATAAAACAAACAATAGTTTGACGTCTTAACGTTCTTAAATAGTTAACCATTTCATACATCCTTGCATATCAGTACATGATAAAATACATGTAGTACATGGGAACTTGTCAGTTTTACATAGTATATATACAATACCATGTGTGAGTATTTGTGGATTTAAACAACAACTTGATGACACTGGAACCTGATCTTGTGATATCTTGTGCACTTCACCTATTCTGACCATAGATGTACGGTAGCAAGTAGAAAATTCATTAAAATATACAATTAAAGGACAGAATATAGTAGAACATTTTTTATAGCTATGGATTTTAATATTAGCAATTTGGTGAAATTAAAAAAAAAATAGTTTGCAATTAATTAATTGTTAGAATGTCTGATCGACTACAAGTTCAATAAAATTAAATGCAAATTGACTGATATATCATGAATAATATCATTTTACTTTCAGCTGAAACACTGGTATCTGTTCTACTTGTTTATTTTCAATGATAATTATCAAAATAGGTTTTGATAGTTTTATAAATTTTTGTGGTTATAATTAAGAAATATTATATCCCAAACAGTGATTTTATCGCTCAATAACATCACTGTTTGGAGTTCGGATGCGAGGAATTATATCACGAGGGCGTAGCCCGAGTGATATAATGATGCGCATCCGAACGACAAACAGTGATGTTATCAAGCGATAAAATCACTGCTTTGGATATATTATTTCGATTCTAACACGACATTAACAAATAAATGTTGCGGTACATGATAGTTAAGCAAAATTCCGTCTGATTTGTTTCCGAACTTATTTTCAGCGCGTCTTATTTTTAGTGGTTACGTCACGTGTATAATGATTACGTCACATGTCTAAATATAGAACGTCAAACTGTGCATCTGTTGCATAATAACACACACTTTCTGTTCTTCTATGTTCAATAGGGAAAAATGCGGGTCGTGTTAGAATTGAAATTAACATATACATGTACTTTTGATCTACCGAACAGATAAGCTTATCATTACAATATTACATAACACTCGCGAACAGTACCAATAAACCCATACAGTTACTGCAATGCTAATTATATGATAATGAATATCACTGTACGGTAATGCAATTTATGTAACATTATTAATGTATACCACATGGAACAATTAGTAAGGATTATCTATAGGCATTTTATAGGACTATAAGTTCATTAGTTAGACTTCTCAATTTTTAGTTTACATCTATAACTTTAACAGAATCAGACATGTTAATTCTGTACAACAAAATTTATACGATGAAAATTAGTTACGACCATGTTTTACGATTCTAGCGCGTCTTGAATATTATTGTCTTAGTGTTATTTACATAAATGTTATATAGTTAATCATGATTTCTCTTTGTAAAAATTTAAAAAGCCTACTGTACATTAATATTTTAACACATGTTTGTCGATAAGAACATATTTTGTTTTAGTAACAACATCATTTTAACATATTATGACGCATGTTAAGTTAAATATAAGTAAGCCACAATATTTATCACAGTTTGAACATTATTACATTTTACTTGCAGTTCCTTATGGCTAAACTGACTACATATGTAACACGGTAATATAATGTCTTAGCACTTTTCCATATTTCCAGCTTTCCCACCAATATGCTAAATCCCTGTGGAAATGCCTAATCACAACTCTATTGATCACCACTCTATTAAAGAACTCTTTTTCGTAAGCACACACCAAGATTACATAGCGTATTTCAAAAATTATCGATCATTTCATATGAAACGATATGGTTATAAACCAGTAGAAAATATCTCCCAATTATCGCTTATTGTCAATTTTCAGGCATGAGCAGAATGCCAGCTTTAAACTACATTGATAAATTACTTGGGGCAAACACATCATGTTCAATGTAGGTTGTTAACGCTTATCCCCCCCCCCTCAATTGTAAAAAGGCATCACATTACACTGAAGATTCGTCAAAAATGGTGAATCAAATGTTAGTTCTCATCTCAAACAGGCACCATAAAAAGCTTATCAAAGCAATGTTTACATTTTGCATGGCTACGCTTAGGTGAAATATCACCAACGGCGTACTTCAATCATACTTTCCAGTTTGTTACATAAGCACAGAAAGCGGGTAAACCTACCATATCAATTTTGACATTCAAACTTTAGTAACATTCGGTCTAACTTTTCACAACAGTAATTAAATTATTATGCCTTTTCGCATTAAAACAATATGTTCAGTACAAGCTGTCCAGGATAACATTTTCCGACAGTCCTGAGTCTGTTATTAATTAACAGAACAGGCCAACCAGTAACAAGCAAACAGTTTAGTAGGACTTTAAAGAGATCTACATCCCATTTAGGTAAGACCCTCATACTACACTTCACACAGTTAGGGCAGTAAGGGTTTTCGTAATATTGACTGTGGCGACAAAAGTTTTTTGTTTAACATTTACATTCCATATGTGCTACTTTTAATTCCTTGACAGTCCAAAACAGCATAATTATGTTTTTTGTATAATCTTTACATTATTCATTGCACACTTTTATTTCCTTGACCGACTAAGGCAGCAAGGGTTTTTGTATAATCTTAACATTATTCATGCACACTTTTATTTCCTTGACCGACTAAGGCGGCAATGGGTTTTTATGTAATTTTTACATTATTCATGCACATTTTTATTTCCTTGACTGACTGAGGCAGCAAGGATTTGTGTATAACCTTTACATTACAAAGCACATATTAAATCCTTTGACTGACTGATAATATTTACATTACTTATATAAAAATGCTCACTTCTATTACCTTGACTGACTAAGACAGCAAGGGTTTGTGTATAATCCTTACATTACAAATACACACTTCTATTTCCTTGACTGACTGAGGCAGCAAGGGTTTGTGTATAATCTTTACATTACAAATGCACACTTTTATTTCCTTGACTGAGACAGCAAGGATTTTTTGTATAATTTGTACATTATTCATGTGCACTTTTAATTCCTTGACTGACTAAGACAGCAAGGGTTTGTGTATAATCCTTACATTACAAATACACACTTCTATTTCCTTGACTGACTGAGGCAGCAAGGGTTTGTGTATAATCTTTACATTACAAATGCACACTTTTATTTCCTTGACTGAGACAGCAAGGATTTTTTGTATAATTTGTACATTATTCATGTGCACTTTTAATTCCTTGACTGACTAAGACAGCAAGGGTTTGTGTATAATCCTTACATTACAAATGCACACTTTTATTTCCTTGACTGACTGAGGCAGCAAGGATTTGTGTATAATCCTTACATTACTAAGCACACATTAAATCCTTTGACTGACTGATAATATTTACATTACTTATATATAAATGCTCACTTCTATTACCTTGACTGACTAAGACAGCAAGGGTTTGTGTATAATCCTTACATTACAAATACACACTTCTATTTCATTGACTGACTGAGGCAGCAAGGGTTTGTGTATAATCTTTACATTACAAATGCACACTTTTATTTCCTTGACTGAGACAGCAAGGATTTTTTGTATAATTTGTACATTATTCATGTGCACTTTTAATTCCTTGACTGACTAAGACAGCAAGGGTTTGTGTATAATCCTTACATTACAAATACACACTTCTATTTCCTTGACTGACTGAGGCAGCAAGGGTTTGTGTATAATCTTTACATTACAAATGCATACTTTGATTTCCTTGACTGACTGAAGCATCTAGGGTTTTGGTATTATATAGGCATATTATGGTGACGTTAATCCCATGAGTTTGTTTGTCTGGGGTCATAAGAGCTTGTCTTTGACTGCTCTTATGTATGGCGAATTGGTTCCCCAGTTAAGACATGAAAAACGTCTAGATGTAAAATGTTATCCATTTATCGGCTTAATAAAAAAGCCCATTAACAACTTACACATTGCGTTGTTTTATTTTGGTGTCTTACAAGCTGCACAAACTCTAGGGATTTAATTATGAAAAACACGATGGCCATAAAAAAATATTCCTATCTCAGAGAGATTATGTAAAATGTGCAATCTAGGGAAAACAGAAGATGAAATTCATTTCATGCTTGAATGTCCTAAATATAAGACTTTTAGAAGCATTTACCTTAAAGAATGTGCTGATTTATGTAAAAACTTTTCCTACACTCAATTGTAATGATCAATTAATATTTTTGCTTAGCAATGAAAATGAAAAGTGTATTGAACTTACTGCATCTTATATATGGCAGTGTTATAACATACGGTCACTTAAAATTACAACAACTTAAAAAATGCCAAATAATTGTGAGATTGTTTAGTAATCTAATAGAAGTATCTTTCCCACATACTAGTTGTTATGATATCAAGATTAGATAACTCATTACATGTTTAGTTGTATAGTTAATGGGATTACTTCCCTTTACTTGATATTCATTAATGCTATGTTATATATATGATCATGCCTCTCTGATACCTGAGTCATTCTCACATGAGCTCTGGTCTTAACAACATGTATTGAATGGTTATAATAAATTGTAGAATAGTTTGAATCTTTTTATCATCCATACAACATAACATGGTGTCAGAAGTAAACTAAAGGAACAATATTGTAATAAAAGGAATTTAATAAAAATTATTTGGAATCGGATTTAACAAGCATTCTGGAAAGAAATTAAATTGTGCGCATCACAAACATTTAACTTTCTTCGGAGGAATCAATTAATTCTACAGCTCTACAATGGATTTAAATAGTGTACCCATACCAACAATGAACTGGGACAGTCAGAACGCTATGGAGGAGTTCAAAAAGTATAGGCAGCATGCAGAACTTATATTTAGTGGCGCATTAAGAGAAAAAGAAGAAGAAATACAAGTAACTTACTTATTACTTTGAATTGGTGATAGAGGCCGCCAGATATATAATACTCTTACATTAACTGAGCTCCAAAGAAAATCAGTAAAGGCAATTCCGGATGCAATTCAAAAACATCTACAACCAAAATCAAATCCTCTATTTAGCAGATACAAATTCCACAATGAAAAACAGGGAAACAGTACGATAGAACAATTCATCACGCGTCTAAAAACATTAGCAAATGATTGCGCTTTTCATGCAGGGTACAGAGATGATGTCATACGAGATAAAATAGTGATTGGAATTACGTCGGAAAAAGTTCGTGAAAAACTAATCAAGGAAGGCGAAGCATTGACTCTTGAAAAAGCAGTCAAGATATCACAGTCACGCGAATATGCACAGGCACAACTACGTGATATGACTAATTCCAAAAACGTCGATGACATTAATCATAAACGACATTCCACGTCAACACACCAAAACGAGACTGGAAAGAAACACAATCACCATTCAAGAGTTAGACAAAACCAACAGATAACAAAATGTGGAAATTGTGGACAGTCACATCACAGCAAAGATCGATGTCCGGCAAGAGGAAAACTATGCAAGAACTGCCATAAATAGAATCACTATGCAGTTGTGTGTAGGTCAAACAAAAAAGTGCATGAAATCGAAACCGGGAACAATAACAGTGACAGTAACAGTGACAGTGAATTTTGTATTGGTGCAGTTGATTCACTTTCAAAGGGACAGGTATTTGTTGATTTACAGGTGGGCTCTAAAGGTCATTTTAAACAGTTTAAACTTGACACAGGGGCATGCTGTAACATCCTTTCTGAGGCAGATTTCAAATCCCTCAAGGTCAATACCCCCTTAAAGAAGCCAACTGTCAAACTCACTGCTTACTCAGGCACTGAAATTAAGGTTCTAGGAGTAGTAGATCTCTCATGCAGCTACAAGAAGAAATGCACAAAACTTGTAGAATTTTATGTTGTGAGAACAAACAAACCCTCAATCCTAGGTTTACAATCATGCCTTGACTTCAGTTTTATTCAGATTGTAATGTCCGTAGACCAGAATGAGCAAATGAACAAAAAAGTATGTCTTGCATGACTTTCCTGAAGTTTTTCATGGCTTTGGAAAATTACCTGGTGCTTGTTCGATCAAAGTAGATCCCAAGTATTCCCCAGTAATTCATCCTCCCCGACGCGTTCCTGTAGCTCTTCAAAGCAAGGTTAAAAAGGAACTTGATGCTATGGAAAAGGCTGGAATCATAGCCAAGGTCACCACACCAACAAATTGGGTGAATAGTATGGTCGTAGTCAATAAGCCACATTCTGATAAAGTTAGAATTGTAATTGACCCTAAAGACCTTAATAAGGCAATCCATAGGCCACATTATCCTACAAAAACCTTAGATGATATTTTGCCGCAGTTAAAATCTGCAAAATATTTCACAAAACTTGACTGCAAATCAGGTTACTGGTCCGTTGTTTTAGATGATAAATCATCATATCTAACAACATTCAACACCCCTCAAGGTCGTTATAGGTATCTAAGATGTCCCATGGGACTGAAATGCAGCCAAGATCTCTTCCAGCAAAAGATGGATGAGTGCTTAGAAGGCTTACTTGGTTGTAGTGTCATTGTAGATGACATTCTTGTTTATGGTTCAACTCGAGAAGAGCATGACATAAACCTAAGAAACTTACTTGATAGGTGCCGCCAAAAGGGCATTAGGTTAAACGAAGACAAACTTGTTGTTTGTGTCTCGGAGGTTAAGTATTTTGGTCACATCCTCTCAGCTGATGGATTGAAACCAGACCCCGAAAAATGTAGGGCTATCCAAGAGATGGAAGCGCCTAAAGACAAGTCTGAGCTTAAGACAATACTTGGCATGATAACTTATCTATCTAGATATGCCCCAAACTTGTCCGAGATCATTCATCCACTCTCAGAAATATTAAAGAAAGATATCATTTTTCACTTGGATGCTCCTCAAGTTCGAGCATTTCAGAAAGTCAAAGACATACTTACTGAGTGTCCAGGCCCAGTGTTATCTTATTTTCATCCAAATAAGGCACTAGCACTTCAGTCTGACAGTTCTCAGTATGGCTGTGCTTCTACTTTAATGCAAGATGGAAAACCTATAGCTTTTGCAAGCAAATCCTTGACCAACTCAGAAAGGTCATGGGCCATGATTGAGAAAGAACTTCTTGCCATAGTATTTGGCATGACAAAGTTCAGACAATATATCTACGGTAGGCATATAACTGTAGAAACAGATCATTTACCCTTGATCAGTGTTGTTAAGAAATCCCTATACAGTGCCCCGGCAGGATTACAAAGGCTCTTATTAGCGTTACATGGTTATGATTTTGAGTTGCAGCACAAAGCAGGCACTCAAATACCCGTTGCTGACACATTGTCTCGGAAATATTTGCCAGATACTTATCCAGAAATTTCCGAAAATAGCAATTTGCATGTTCACTTCATAACAAAAAACTTGCCATACACAGATCAAAAACTTAGTGAAGTTAGGTCAAAAACTGAGTCAGATCCAACACTCATGACCTTGAAACAAATCATTCTTCAAGGCTGGCCTGAAAAACGCAAAGATTGCAATTCTCAAGTTCTAGAATACTGGAATTATAGAGATGAACTCACTGTTGTAGATAATATCATCTACAAAGGTCAAAGATTGATTATTCCTAAGTGTCTAAGATCTGAAATGTTAAATTTGCTACATAAAGGTCACCCCGGTCAGGAACGTAGCTTCCGCAGGGCACACATTTCTATGTTTTGGCCTAACATTAGCAAAAACATAGTGCAGAAAGTGCAACAGTGTTCTGTATGTGCAGAACATCAAAGGTCAAATTCAAAGGAACCCTTGGTTTCACATGAAATCCCTAAGTACCCATGGCAGGTAATAGGTACTGATGTATTTACATTAGATAACCAAGACTACTTATTAGTATGCGACTACATGAGCAACTATTTTGAAATTGACATGATTAAAAATACAAACAGTAGCACTATCATTAAGTTAATGAGAACTTGGTTTTCAAGACATGGTATTCCCCAGAAAATAGTTTCAGATGGTGCTAGTTATTACACATCACAAGAATTTAAAGAATTCACAACTAAATGGGACATAAAGCATGTAAGGTCATCACCTCAATATCCCCAAAGTAATGGCCTTAGTGAATCATGCGTGAAGAAAGTAAAAACATTGCTTAAAAATGCAAGCAAGATGGGACAGACCCTTTGATAGCAATTTTAGAATTACGTGCTACCCCGCTAAGCATAGGTTATTCTCCCACTGAAATCTTAATGGGAAGGAAAATAAGGACATTTATACCTATGTCTGAAAAGAACTTAACACCCAAAACAACAGATTTTAAGAGAATAAGGTCACTTCTTGAAAAACAAAAGTGCATTCAAAAGAAAAATTATGATAAACATTCAAGGTCCCTTAAACCATTTAACATAGGAGAAAATGTTAGAATTCAGCAGGGAAAATCTTGGAATCCCGCTGTCATTCAAGAAAAATTAGACAATCGCTCCTATTCTGTAGAAACACCTGATGGTGGCCAATATATCAGAAACAGGCAACATCTAATGAAGGATTATATCTGCCAAGATAATGACCCTCCATTAAACACTGATAACGATCAATTTACACAGGCCATTTGTAGTAATCAAGACATAGCAGATTCCCAGGGTAAACTTTCACACCAGTTAACCTCACAGCATGCCAGTGTCAAGAGTGATAATCTGACCTTTAATCACTCAAAGTCACCTGTTTCAACAAATACTCTCAAACTGCCAAACATTTATCCAGAAGGTTATGTAACTCGTTCTGGGAGGCAGGTTAAACCAAAGATAATTCAGTCTGTGTAAAATAAGTGTATAAATACACATTGAACAAATAGGCATAAATTGCAGTAGTGTTTATTGTGCTTTAAACAGAAAAAGTACAAAGTTTATATTGACAGTATGAAAGCATTTTCTAGGACAAATTTATCATAATAATTAAATGTGTTTATCTCAAATTCATTAATTGATGTCAGTCTTGACATGGACATTATTTTTATTGCTTAATGCTTTCTCAGAATAAATTGACATTTATAGCGGACAAATGTTTATGAGCTTCTCAATTTCAAACAAAGGGAGATGTTATGATATCAAGATTAGATAACTCATTACATGTTTAGTTGTATAGTTAATGGGATTACTTCCCTTTACTTGATATTCATTAATGCTATTTTATATATATGATCATGCCTCTCTGATACCTGAGTCATTCTCACATGAGCTCTGGTCTTAACAACATGTATTGAATGGTTATAATAAATAGTAGAATAGTTTGAATCTTGTTATCATCCATATAACATAACACTAGTGAGGGGTCAAATAAGTTCAAATATATGTGTAAAACAATCATCATGTTAATATGCGTTTATAGGTCAATAGCTGATTGTATAAATAATAATTTTAGTCAAGTACATTTATACAGTACAACAATAATAGAAGTTTTATGCATAATAAGTAATTGTAGTTATTTATTTATTAACATCATTAGTCTTTGTCAATGTGCATCTCAAAAGATATTGTGGGTAAGTTATTGTTGAGGTTTTTTACAAATTCTATTTCTTTTATGTGTTGTCATTTAAAATGCCTTTGTTGAATGCATATAGTTATTAGTCCTTTGTTAATTGTGTTATCAAATCAGAATTAGCTTATGTTATCTTATTATTGTTTTGTTTATGTACATTTAATGTACTGATATTTCATGTAATTGTATGCCTGAGAAGGCCCATGATTGGTAATAAAACATTATTCTATTCTATTCTATTCTATTCACGGTCCGACCTGTCCGTAACTGCGGCAGTAGCTAGTTTTCGGCAATGTGACTAGAAAAAAAAAACTTTATATATAATATATAGACTATACTGTATATTACATATAAACTATAAATTTTTTCTAAAATTACTTTTTTACACTATCTTTAGATGTACGTTAATGTGATTTTAAAGGTGTAACAAACAATTAAGGCAGGTTACTTAATTTATAAAACAAACCACTAAAACCTCTGGATTAAGAAAGTTAATTACAATTATTACTTAGAAAACATTATCTTTTGATCTTAATTAAACTATACGTAATTTTCTCAAGGTGTAACTAATTAACTCTTTATAGCTTTATGCTAATTGGCGGTAAGTAATTTCAGAGAAAACTTCAAAAGATATGAAAAAACGGTTTGCTATAATCTCATGATAATATTTTTAATTATTATTGCTATTAGATAATGATAGATGCTAGATGTTATAAAACTGATTGAAAAACTGAAACCAAATTCCTTCTCCAAATCCCTCCAGGGGCGTGCACGTCGCGCAGAAGGCACACGGCAGGTCAAGGTCAAGTCATCTTAAGTACCAGAGGTGATTGGTTGACCTGTCGTGACTAACTCTGGAGGGTTGGCGCTAATGAGAGCCGTTTTTGTTATCGTCAGTATGGAACTTGATGCCTGGCCAGTATTGTTCGTACTCCTCTAACCACAACGAAAAAGA